TAGTGGACCCCATTTTTGGTAATATGTCTAACTGTATTAATTACATCATATGAAAATTGGCTAAAAATTTTTTTTTATATGGGTAGGGGGTATGAATAGCAAAAATGGGAGGTACAAATAGTATCGCCCTTAATATAATATGCAATTTTAGTTGTAATTAATAACAATTATGTGCCAATCGAGATATGTTTAAATCTAGATTCTTGCATATATTTCTGTATTTACATAATACAAATTACTGACCATGTTTCGTTGACTACATATATTTTATTTAATAAAAGATAATTGCGTATTGTTTAATGAGAAAACAATACACTTAACAATACATTTAATTACAAGATCATGCCGACCTTTTTTTCAAATACTAAATAAACTTTATGAATATATCTATAAAATATTTAAAAAGGCAGAAAAACTACTATATCTTACTCTAGAACAAAGTCGACATTACCACGAAGATATAATATTATTTTATAAAAAACAAAGTTTTTCCGTCATTATAACGGAGTTGATTATGATTTAGACTTAAAGATTAGTGTTTTTATGAGAATTTTTCACCTTCAGAGCCGAGTCGGTTAAAAGCTTAATAATTTGGCTATAACCTTTTCGCCTTCAAATTCAAGTTAATTCGTACCAAGATTCAAGGAAGTCAGAATTGAATTTCTCTAAAGTATTAGCCAATGCATTTTTATCTTACATTACGCATCCCAAGAGCGTCTCCCGCCTCTGTATATTTTTGATAATACAGTAAATAAATGCTTTATATTCATCCTTTTCAACTCCAATTCCATTTCGCTAACAATATCCAACCTGAAATATTCTGTCATTCAAAATAAATTATCTTCAGAATAATCAATTGAATTAATGAACTTTATAAATAATGTAAAAAAATTTGACTCACCAGCCCAAGGCTTGTCAAAACTAGAGATTTGCATGGTTTAATACAGTATTTTTAAAGAAAGCTATCCTAAATAATACATCTTTATATTTATATTTTTTATTTTTTGCTTATCATAAGTCCATGAAAATAATTGCGTCATATCCTATTAATATGACGAAGGAAGAATTAAATTTATCAAAAGTTCGAAGATTCAAAAAACTGATAAACTTTCGTATCGAAAACGAAGAAATTAATTATATGCTGCGGCAGCTGCGGCAGTGTGATGTCGATCATTAGCGAACTTTGGGGGGCCACCCTGGCAAACTCTTTTCCAGACACACCCACATCTTCTATGGGCTCTTCCGGACCTAAACAACTACGCCCTTCCCTTAATAACCTGGACACGATTTCTTGCTTTGGGCCCATCTCCACTAAGCCCATACCACGACAGACGAACCTCAATGCCTCCACTGACAATTGGTTTAGATTTGACTCCAAGTTCGTTTGGGTTATGTCAGAAGCTACTGCATCGTTTGCTGTAGATACTGGCTCCGGCTCTCTACTCATGGTTGTTATAAAATGAATAACTTCTTTATATATATTGCGCACCAAAAGACTGATGTACCACACTAACGATGAAAAGGTAATATAAACGGCTTGCTTATTATTTATTGAACTTGTACGGGCATAAGCTAACACAAATAGCTCAAAAATAACGAATGAATATATCGATATGTACGTTTGTAAGTTTTGTAAGTTTAGTAAGCTTATACAAAAGAACCAGAAAAGGTCAAAAGTTTGTTTTATTAATTTACTAGAAACGGTAATAGCACGAAAAAACCAGACAAAGTCAGGTTAGCAGAAAAAACAGAAATTATTTTGTCTGGGAAAAAAACCCATTCCCTTTAAGTATGCCCTAACGATTACAAATCAAAAAAACTACGTAATTACGTTGTTACTATAATAAACTCCAATGACATAATTACGTCGCTACCATCACTAGCTCTAATGATCACCAGATCGAAAAAATTACGCAATTTACCATCATACCAATAAACTCCATTTTTACTACTAATCGAAAATACTACACAACAAAAAAATGAAAAAACTACGTCATTCTGCCATAACACATTTGCATAATATTTCTCCAGTAATCAGGCAATAAATCATAACTATACAATCATACGATCAATTAATTTAGCTCCGTGTTCGATTCGAGACAAAATGCTGCTCCGATACTATCGTATCGGGCAGCCAATTAAACCTAGCTGCCGCACAAAAAATGCACGGTTAATCCTCGATTTTGATTGGCCAATAGCGACGATCAACAATTTAGGCCAAAATTACTCAAAATTTTACTAATGAAATCGTGGCCGCCCATTAAGTGAAAAATGTTCCTGGGCTAATTTTACCATTGCGCGGGCCTACTTCTCTAAAAATTTCTATTTTAGGAATGAAAAAGTTAAAAAGTTAATTCCGGCCAAAATTATGTAATGCGGGCCCAATCCGCGAAAATTTTGTGCGGCAGCTAGGTTCAATAAAAAATTTCCTTCTAACCCTTAAAAAGGAAATTTTTACATTAATGTAAAAAATAACAAATCCTAATAAAAAGGTATCCTTTTAGTACTTATATGTCAACCCCGTTATGCTTCTATTTTTTTTTAATTTTTTACCTTTTTTCTTCTGATTTTTTGCCGGTATGATGAATTGATAATCGCTGATCATCAAAGATCTTAGCAAAAGAATTACGGCGAAAAATCGTGAACTCAGCCCCTGATCCACACAAAATTTACGTGATTTATTGTCATTCTATCGGTACAGCGGCATCGCCACATATTTATCAACAGTAATTGGATGGAATTAGATCCGGATCACCCAATGACAGTTTTATTTGGCAGGTGATATTATACTATTATCTTACGGCTATAATGATCGTTTCACATAATAAATAAAGACTTTAAATTTAGTGCATCGCTTTTGCCCCGGAGGGGCCAAAGTTGGTGCATTAAATTTAAGACGGAACATCTAATGACAGAAATACTTGAGAAAATTTTCTTTCCGGAATAAAAATAAAAATAAAATAAAAAAATCTACTATCTTTAATACATTATGGGCGGCGAAACGGCCTACATGATCATGTCTGTAGTTTCTATACAGTATTATAATTTTATCGAATTTTGTTAGGTGGTTGTCAAGAAAACTTGCTTAATGTGTAGAAGGAATTTGTCCCCCTATTAGGCCAAAGTTAATTTTTCATTTTGCATTACTTGCCGACCCAAAATTTTCAAAACTTGATATTTATTTTAATCGTTTTAATGAATTTAATTCAAAAAAATCAATAGTTATTTAATCAAAATATTAAGACATACAAGAATTACTTGATTCAAATTCAGAAAAATAGTACAATATCGAAACAATTTTGGGATGTTACCCTTTATGAAATTTGATTGGTTGGATCTAATATAGTGACGTATGTAAAATTTGTAATTTATTTTATTTAACGCATTATTATCTGATGATGCTGAAATTTGAACTTATTTGTTTAGAGTTAAGGTTGGAGTCAGGGCTAGAGTTCACAATGAAAGGGTATAATAGTAAATGTGGATTTTAATAGGGTTCATATTTTCAAATCAAACATCAAATTTCAGAATCATCCATCTCAGTATTATTGTCATTTATTATCACATCAACAGTTAAATGATCTAATGACTTTATTTTGGTGTAATCGGTTTATGTGAAGATTACACTTGGCCATCAATAATACATAATAATGCCTAATACTACAGTGATCGCAAAGAAGATCAGAAAAAATAATATCTATCGTATCTAAGAATGACTAAATTGTTCTTCATTTTTTTTCATAATAATGCCTATTACTACAGGAAAATCGGAAAATAAGATGAAACAATGGTTTTCCGTATTTAAGAATGACTAAATTATTCTTAAATAATATGCAACAGTTTTTTATTTTGGTTTAAAACGAATGCTATAAATAGCAAGATTGTCAAAATATTATTACACGGTGGACGATCATTCGCAGAGAACGTATGGTGTGAACAATTATTTCCAAATCTTTTTTTTTTTTGAATATTATCATACTGTAGATCGTTTTTATCAACAACAATGACTCTATGATATGTACTGTAGATCGTTTTGCTTGTTTGATCAACAACAATGGGCTCTATATGATCCTCTCTTCTAATTACGGTTTCAGTTTAGCATTAGACCTAAAAGCTTGGACACCATGCACAAATAATTTTCTTAAATTACATGCAATTAGGTTTACGATAAATATGTAAATCCCGGGCCTATTCTTGGAACATCTTTTCTAGTTTCATACTGATAGAAATCTCTGACATAAAGATAAATCATTCTATTTGTATTTCCGTTTTTGGCCGATTTTTATGTATTATTTCGGAAGGGGAGTGAAGGTTTCGAAAGGCTATTATTAATACGCACTAATTTTCAAATTTTTATGATGGATAATAAATTAGTACATAGCCATTACAGTTTCATTCATTCTTATATTTGGCAAGTTACCGATAGGTTTAAATTTTAATATAGTTTTATAATGCCTTATGATTTAGCTGATTTAAAAGCTAATGAACTTGAAAATCATCTAAACAAGCAAAATGCTTTTCAAGAAAGCCTTAGAAATTAAAAACTTTGGCTACATGAAAATTCAGTCTTAGGGATATGCAACCGGCTCGTGCCCATGCCAAACAAAATTCAGGCATTGCATGGGCATGAAAGCTTTGGCATGGGTATAAACACTGGTACAGATACAAAAATTTGGCATAGGCAGACACGGGCATAAAAACTTGGCATAGGCATGGGTATAGGCACAAAAATGTAGTATTTTATTAATTAATTGTATGTCTGGTACTATCTGGCACTTGTGCCTGGCAATATTTTGATATCTTTTTGCCTTGACATATTGTGCTGTGTTTATAAAGTATCTGAAATTTGTGCTTATGCTTATAAAAATGCCCAGCATTTGTGTTCATGCCAATAATAATTTCTGGCACTTTTGTGTTTATATATATAAGTATAGTATGAGGTATTAGTGCCTGGCATGGTGCTAATTGGCTTGGTATAGGCATTTACAGAACCCTATTCAGTTTATTAATTTATATTAACAAAAAAAATCTGATTCTAATTGAAATTTTGAATATTATTTAGTGCAAAATAAAAAATTATCTTTGTATAGCCTTAGTAATATAAGTGCTGTTGAATTTTAAAACTTTAAGCAAAGTTTTCTAATAAATTTAATAAAAATTTTTTATTTTAATTCTATGAATATTAAAAAATAAAATAAAAAATTTTGTATAATTTAGTTAAAAAATTATCAAGTTTCTTTTAATAAATACCTGACAAAATTCAATAATATTTTTTATTTTATTTTAATTTTATATATTAGGAAAAACTAAAAAGTATATCCTGTACTTTGTGCACCTCTTAGATTGACCAATACAATTGCAAAATCAATGTAATTTATAGATCAATTTTGTGTAACAAAAACAATTATACATATCAATTTTGTATAACAAAAACAAAGAATTTTTTAAAACCCATCATATCTCAATATTTTGATTATAAAACCACTTTTGAATAAAAAATTTCCTTGTGAAATTTTACTATATGGGTGCCGCCAAGAGAAAACCAGGAATTCTAAAAATAGACTTCCATCCACAGCGAAGTTGCGGGGTTTTTTAATCGGTCAATGTAATAACACGATGTTATTACATTGACCGATTAAAAAACTCCGCAACTTCGCTGTGGATGGAAGTCTATTTTTAGAATTCCTGGTTTTCTCTTGGCATCACCCATATGCCATATCTAACTCTAACCTCTAAATATTGTCTTTACTTTAATATTAAAAAATTTTAATTTTTGTTTTGATAAATTATTTGTTATACAAAATTAATGATCATTTAGGTGCACAAAGTATACTGGTGCACTGGTGTACTGGTGCACTGGTGCACTGGTGCACTATTTAAATTTTCTCTTATATATTTATAAAATTAAAATAAAAATTTTATCAATAATTATTAAGAAAACTTTATTTAAATTTTTAACCAACTGTTAAAATCATTTACATATATTCTAATTTTGATTAGACAAGCATGTTTAGATTATCAATAAATATTATTTAATTTATTATATATGCATATATTTATGTGCTACCACCTGATTTTGAAATCACACTTTTTATCTAATCAGTATTCAATATCAAATTTATACAAACAACCTGTATATAATATTAAAATTAAAAAATTAACTATTTTTTTTAAAAAATTGCTTTTATCTTGAAATTTCACTTATGAAACTAACTTCTATGTTTTAACAAAAAAATTTTTTGCAAAATTTGAGTATATTTTTTTTAAAACTCTACTCTTATCTTGACAATAATCTAGCACTAATTAATAGTATTTTTTTAAAAAATATAAATATTTATTGCAGTATTAAAATAATATAAACAATATTAAATATTTCTATTTTGGTTGATGGATATATAGATGTATCCTGAAATACACTCTAATTAAAAATAGCTATATATATTACTA